TTCTTTCTTTCTTTTTTGGCTTGTCTTTCTCGTTTTAGTGCAGTCGCTCCCTTCGGGCTTTCTGCCGCCGCCGCTGCTTGCCGAGAGAACTCTTGGGATGAATAGGAAAATCGGGAGGGAGAGATAAAGACCGAGTGAGCAGGTACGGACACGAATCCACCTTTTTACATCTTTTCTTTTTGTTTGAAATGCTTTGGAGGTAAGATTTTAATCTCTTTAATCTCAGTAGTAGGCTAGAAACATATTTTTTCTTCACTCGGGTCAATTTATTTTGACCGTCTACTTTCCATCTTTCAAAAGTTCATTCCACGAAAACGATTTGCTTGTGCGTATATGTAAACTCGAGAAATTGATCTAAGAAAATCGTTAAACATCAAGCACGGTTATTTTATCCCTAAAATAGATCAAATATTGCTTAAAAATATATATTTTTTCTGTACTCAGGGCTTTTGATTCAATAGCAGAAAAACTTGTTTAAAAACAAAATGAGATACTTATCGTTTAAATTGAAAAAATTATTTGTTTTGTTCAAGAATATTTTTGTTTTAAATACGGTAAATTCAAAAATTTTCAAACTGTATTATTGTGCAAAGTATTCACAATTAATACTTTTATCGTGCAAATAAAAGTCATCTATAGTAATTTTGAGAATTATTTAATCGACTAAAAGCGCATAATATAAATTTGAATGTAAAAGAGGGTCAAAAACCTTTTAAGGTCTGGCAGATAAAAATTCAGCCAATAGGAATCCCACGAGAAAAAGAGGCTTAAAAGTCTGCTTGTTATATGGGGTGGTTATAGAGCGGGGCAAATACCTCTGATCTAAAAAAATAAAAAAGGTGACAGAGGAAAGAGCCAAAGAAAGAAAAAAGAAAAGAGCATCCTTGCAACTTAGTGAACCTGCTGCGGAAGAGTCAAACCATAAAATTTATTATCCACATTTGCATCATCGATTAGAATGGTTTTATTGAAGGAAATTGATATTTTTATTATTTTGCAAATTATTTAAAAATATATTATTATTTTGATTAAAAAATTATATTGTGAAAGATAATTGTAAAAGACAATTTTGAGAAATCTTGTAATTCTATTAATACTTCGAGAAGAAAAAAAATTGGCTACAATGCTCTTACAAACGATTACAATATCGCTGTAATTTTTTATTTAAAAAAAAAGAAAAAACTGAATGTAATCCTAATTATGGATACTTTGTTCGCGTAAATGACAGCATCGCACTCAATAAAACAAGATATAATAAGGTTGTAAGTGCACCTATCTCGGGCTTCAGTAAACTCTTTCTCTTTTTCTCTCTCCCGAGCGATATACAGCTGAACGGCGTTCATGCACCCGCATCCCTGCAGAAAAATTCGTTTCATCGAACCCGAAGTAGTCGACCTTAGCCCTGAATAAAAATTATTTCATTACCCCGCTAGCACGTTGCCCCCTTCGCTCTTTATTTCGCTTTCTCGCTCTTTCTCGATGCTTGATCCGACGTATACTTACGCGAGTCGAAATATGTCCAGCTACCCGTGTGTAAAAATGCATTCCTGGTAATGCACAAGTATTGATATCGCTTTAATGTTATTTATTAACTAATTATTTGGATTTTATACTCCAATGTTTGTATAACGCAAATTTTAGCAAGGCAAGGAAAAGTTTTAATAAAAATCTAATTGTTTAACAAAAAGAAATTTTTCAAATGTGGTCTCGTTAGCAAAATATTCCATTTATTCAAATACTCAAATAAAAACAAAAGAAGATACTACATACAGAACACTTTATTTTAAGCGTACACAAAAAGTATAAGTTAATCGACACATAAACGGTTAACAATTCAATATCGATTCTTGTGGAGCCAATGATTTTTCAGTGAAAACCAAATTCAAAAATGCTATTCATTCCGTCGGATTTCCAAGGCTCAAGTCTAGAAAGTGAATTTTCGAAGGTCACACGCACTGCAGCCCTGAGAAAGCGAGAGAAACGTCCTGTGAAGGTGTATATGTATGTATGCAAGCGAAAGCCACGAGCGTGCAGATGTGTGCGTGCGCGGGGTTGGTACCCTGGCGAATCGGAGCGGCCGTTGGACTTGCAGACTCAAGTGCATTACCCTTTCGCGTTCAATGCACGGACAGGCAGACGATATGTCCGGCGTCTCGCGAGAAAGAGGGAGAATCCGGCTCTCTCTCTCTCTCTCTCTCTCTCTCCCTCTCTCTCTCTCTCCCTCTCTCTGTCTTTCGCGCACGCTAGAACTCAGCGGGTGGAGGCTATAAATAACGGATCCACCGTTTACCACCCCACACACCTCGACAGCGCATACTCGAACACAGCTTCTCTCGTAACTTTGTAGAAACTTCTATAGGACTTTCATTCACTTTTCCCGACCAACGGTGCTTTTCGATTTTCCAATTCGATAGTGAGTTGCACTTTTTTTCTATTGTACTGTTCGGTGACTTGCTTTAGTTTTTGATTAATATTTTTGCTTGGATTCAACAAAGTAGCTTTGTTTAAATAGTCGAATTTTAAAAGTGCCAACTATCACTTGATTGGCTATAAAAATCAATCTATCTAGATGATAATTGTCTAGATTTTAATTTAAAAAATGATTATCTCGACTGTTCATTTCTTTTAATTGTTATGACAAAAATATCTATTACGTATACAAATGACAGCATTCAAATTAGATAACTATAAGGAAATGTGCAATATGAACCGCAAGTTCAATTAAAAAAAAATACGAAAAGAAATCGCAAATGGCTATGAATGAAAAAAGGGGCGGCATAAGTTTCACATAAATGAGCGCATAAGCAGGCGCGAATGGCGCGAGTGCGGCAGCGAGACGACGAAAAACAAGAAGAAGAAGACGAAGAAGAGACTTTTAGTCTCTGTGGGAGATCGTTGCACAGAAAAGTAGTAAAAAAGAAGAAGAAAGGGAGGAGGGAATGCGACGCTGCCGAACAGGAGACACGATAGGAATCTGCAAGCGAGCGACGGCGGGCAAAATGCAGATTTAATGCCAGGGATGACCTTTGTCGGTCGTTGCACGCCTCTCCGCCGCGTGCGCGCGCGCGCGCTCGCGGTTCCGCTTTAGACGCCAACGAGCAGCTCATTTGCATAAGACTATTGGGATCAACAGCGCGGTGGCACGTCACTATTTTATCTCTCTTTATTCTTCTTTTTCTCTTGATGTTCCCTTGGTCGAGGCACTTATTATGCGCCCTTTCTACAATCATCGTGCCTTACAAATGCTTTGAATATGGGTGTGGGGGTTTGTTCGTATATTCTCGATAATTTGGAATTCGCCTGATACGTATTCATACGAATATGCTGAACTTTTCGAGGCAAGAAATATAGAAAAATGTACATCTATGCAATGTGCCTGGAGATGTTTAATAATAAATCGCTTGTCATCGATATAAGTCATTTAAAGGTAATTAAGGAAATATTTTAAGTTGACCGAAATTTGAACCAAATAACAAATTCCTATCACACCTTCATAACCTTGCTCACGCAATTATCATCACAAATGTTTGTAGCTAAGGCTCGTACAATGTAAGATGCAGTTACAACCACAGTTTTTTCCCGAGTTTCTATGACAAGTGGAAAAAAAATAAATCGAAATCGCGTGAGCAGAGAAAATTCCACTTGCGAGGAGGCGCTCGACACGCGTGAGAGCGAGAGAGAGAGAGCGAGTAAGTCGTTGCCCTCGATCGAGATCGAAGGTAAGCCAGACTCGCACTTTAAATCGCGTTGCATCACAAGCGCAAGCAAGTGGAGGCTCGATCGACTATGTCAAGAGAGAGAGAGAGAGAGAGAGAGAGAGAGAGAGAGAGAGAGAGAGAGAGAGAGAGAGAGAGAGAGAAACCTATGGTTAACGAGTGACACTTGTGTGTGCACGCGACTTGTGCACATGATAACTAAGCCGCTGCTACTTCTTTTTCCTGTCATTTTTCTTGCAAGCTGTCAAAGTTTCATAAGCGAGCAACAATCAACGATTAGTAGACTTTTGAAGCTCGATTTTTTAAGAAAACCTATAATTTTTGTTGTCTACAGCATAAATAACTTTCATTAGAAAATAAATCATTGACAGTAGATAATCTGTAATTAAGAGCGTAGAATTAGTATTACGAACAATTGAATTTCAGATAAAAGATGCTTATTGCAAGCTTTAAACTTTTGAATTATTAAAAATTCAGGCATTTCAATTCAGAAGGAGTAGATTCGCAGTAAGTAAAAGAGGCAATTCAAATTTATTGACATCGGGAGCTGGGATTTCACCAATTAAACATTGAATTACTACTACTTTGGATTTACTAATAATCAAGCAATCGAGTGCAGTAGATAGATGTAGTATTACAGAAAAAAAACTTAATTCGATCAAATTATGATAATTACCGAGGAACATTTTTTCCTCGTTCATACTTTCCCGTAGACAACTCTCAAATTTTTTTTCCCGTAATTATTCTAAAAATCAAGCCTGCGTAGTTTTCCACGAGAAAAAAAATTCAGATAGGTGTTTATAATTCTTTAGTAAAAAAAATGTTCTTTATAATATATATTTTCCGAAAATGATCTTATTTATTTTGACTACGTTCAGACAGCAATTCCATTTTCCCATACAAAATCAACAATGTGGAAATAAAAGACATTTTACAATACATATTGTGTCTTTAAAATTTTAATTTTCCTATCATACAGCTGAGACAATCCATTCGAAATCTGAATGTGAAATATACGTATCTGTAAGTCAAAATATTGAAGCTCAAGATACAGTCCGACGTGTGCTTCGTACGCGAATACTCGCTGTCAGTAGAAGCTTCTGTCTTTCAGAGTCACGACATAAAAGAAAATTTTTTTTGAAAATGACATAATATTTCTAAGTGGCATACGAGAAACATTGAAAGAACAATTTGAATTTCGCGGTGACTCAGTCTGGACTTGAAACCGCCGTGAAGCGCTGAGATCGGACAGTGTAGATACAGATCGTAAAAGTCAAGCTGTCCGTGAGACACGTAGTTTCCATTTCTCAACGAATTTGTATGCCATAATGTAGTAAAAATCGAAATTAACTATTTCTGATGGACAATTTTCCTTACACAATTACTTGCCCTAATAAATTATTGGTGAGTTCAAAAATTTGATGAATTATTTCATTTCAGAGCATTCTGTCGTCTCCGCTTAGAGGCGGTCAAAACTTTCGCTTTCAGAATGTCCACGCTAACAAAGCGGTGCATTGGTGAACGTGACCACGTGATTTCTGTCGGCGGTCTTGATATTTGATATTTGGATAATACCACGTCTGTTTTTTTTTTGTTTTTTATAGTTTCATCAATTTTATCAATTCTGTCATTCAATAATTATTAAAAATAATATTACTCATTTTAAAAACCACCAATATTATGATGAGGAAATTAAGTATATAAAAAGGACGATAATAGTGAAAGATTAAAAATATAAATAATTTTTTTTTCCAGCAAAATGATATTTTACTTGTTCCTGTCAGTATGCATCCTGCTACTAATCTTACACTTTAGAAAAAGTAAAAAACACTTACCTCCAGGCCCAAGAGGACTTCCAATTTTAGGTAATCTCTTACAACTTGATAAAGATGCTCCGTACGAGACTCTTGCACAAATCGCCTGGAAATACGGACCAGTTTGTGGATTACGCATGGGCTCGGTTTATACAGTGCTACTGACCGATCCTAAACTTATCCGTCAGGCTTTTGCCAAGGATTCATTTTCAGGTAGAGCTCCTCTCTACTTGACCCATGGAATAATGAAGGGATATGGTAAGTAGATCACAGTAATTGCTTGTTGTTTTATTTTTATCTTGGAAGATTCAGCTTCGTAGAACTTTTTACGTTTTTACGAGGCACCAAATTCGCGGGGCTCTTGCGAGGTCCCGTTATTATTTGTTACTCTGTAATTATATGTTACTTAACTTTTTTTTTCTGAAAAGTTCTGTGAAATACCTTTTATGTCTGGACTTTCCAAAAAATTTCTTACAAATTTTAAAAGAAGTCAGATGTGTGATGTGCATTGAATTGATTTTGAATTTTTAATAGCTGGTAAATTTGACTCCATGATACATAGTGTTCATACGAACTCGTAAATCAATTTCTCTTGACAAATAGATCTCATAAAGTGCCAGTGAACGGCAATTAAATATGCCATTGTATGCAGGTTGCTTTGTAGTATATGTAATTTTCATTGTTGACCTGACTTACCTCTCTCGTTCGCTCTCTTCGCTTTCTTTATCACCGTCTCACTTTGATTTGGTGTCGATCCGCGAAATGGATAATAATGGAGCGGACACGAATTCTCTCATACAATAGAAGGGCGGTCTCGTGTTGGATGTATAAAGATGTAACGGTTCCTCTAACGAAGTCTACGTTGGGAGCCGACTAACCTACTAAACGAAAATACCTTCCAGATCGGACTATAGTTTGGTCTTAGTTACTGTTCCGAAAAAAAGATATTACAAGAGTGAACGAGACAGAGCGAAAGACACAAAGAAAAAAATAACTAGGTCGTTAGTGTAGTTGAGCAGAGAATTTTTAGGAACCCGTTAGAGTTCTTGGCTCAGCTGGTCGGTTAGATGTGTTAGACATTTTTATTATTCGAAAAAATGTCCGGCACCGCATTGTCTTTTGCTTGCCAAAATATTTTGAAAAGATTGGTGTATTGGTATTTTAGGAACTGATCTTAAGATTTTGAAATCATAGTGCTTTTGCATATGAATTATCATGATATTAACGTTATTTAATACGTACCATTATATATTCATTTTACCAAATTGTTGCCAATTCATATTTATTTTAAATTGTATTTAATCAATTGGCTAGAATGAAAACTTTCGCGAACTTTATTTAACAGTGAAATAATATTTTTATACAAATTCTAATACTAAAGGAAAGATGTACTACAAGTAACATTCATATTTTTGAAACTGCATTATGATTTTAGGTCCTTCCAATCATCATTATAAACTAGTTTATTGCAGCTTCAATTTTTCTTAAGTTTATCTTAGAAGAGATACACTGGAAAAAACATTTAAAGAGATAAACAGTTGAGATACTAAAAAGTGCAAGAACTGCACTTAACGCACGTGCAAGTAGATGTCTAGAGTTCTATGTACATACATCCGATGCAATGTTTACGAGACGCTAACAAGAGTCAATGGCCTCCTGATTTCTTTTCCATTCATCCTTTTGTCTACTTTTCTACGTACAAATTAGCTGAACGATCTCAATTTTTTTCAAATTTAGTCTGAATTCTATTTTATGATGCGTCTTAACTGTTTCTTTCATTGAATTTTGTTGGAACTATACTACCAATTAAATATATTATCATTAATAATCACGTTTCCTTATCTATGGTAACGATGTTCATAATACTTATAAGTTAGGTAAGATATCGTTTACTTTTATTATTATAACGACGGAAATGAAAAAATAGACAAAAATACATATAAAGAGTTATAATACATCTACTTGATTCGTTGTTCAAATTAAATATTTTCTCAGCGACTAGAACGATTTTATTATAAACAATAAATGTGTTTTTTAAATACTCTGAATCTTTCGCAATAAATGCTATATTTCTTAAATTATACTCGTGAACAAAGTTAAATCTTGCATTACATATTGTCGTATTGCCCTGCGTCATAAACTTTCCACGAGGCCAAATCGCATCCTCTCTGGCTCAAGTCAGAATGGCGACTGGCAAAGTTATCTCGTATTCCAGATCATCTGAGCAGATCCCCACCTGGCCACGATCTCCTTTCCCGCGCGCCTTGGTACACACCCGCCGAAAAGTCCTGAGGAGATATGTATACATGCTTTCCTCCACACGTGTCGAATCCCTTCCCCGACGCTTTTCTGGGACAATGAGAGGGGGCGTTTAGACACGCCTTCAACGTCAGTACTCAATGGGGCTGGACGAGCTGAGTTTTGATCTTGAAACACTTTGCATCTCGCGTCGCTGGTGCCGTAGAGGGACAGTCTGAATGGTCGTTTTTTCAAAATTGTGTAAAATATTTTATGTAATATTTAAATTTAAATTAATTATGCGCGACGTTCTCTAACGAACATTTTATGGATAAATTTCTCTGGCTGACTATTTTCGAAATTTTCACTAATGAACTTTTTCGGTTCATTTGATTCAACGATAAAATAAAAATATTTCTCGATCTCAGACATTTCAATGATTGATCTCATAAATAAATTAATGCGTTTCCATTATCTTAAATATTTTATCATGCTCTGTCGCATGAAAAGAGATGGCATTTTCACGTTCATATAACAAGTATTATTTATTCGTCACATTTCCGCTAGCAGAAAATTATACTTGTTTAACGGTTACATTACACATTGTTTGACAATTATGAACAATTCTCCAATTAAAATGGTCAATGAATCATAATTTACTCGACATATAATAGCGTCGCAAATACATAATTCAGAAGAAGCGACAAGCTGAATCTACCAATCCAATTATATAGGAAGCATGTCCAAACTTATCATTACACTGTAATGTAGGTGCATGCAATCTCATATATTACGCAGAAAATGATGGTTCGATATCTTCAACACTGTAACTCAGTTATTTTACATCATGTTTTGTGCAATAAATTTGATATGAATAATACAATTTTTTTTCCGCATAATACAGACATTAATTTGATTTTATAACAGAGCAAAATTACTAAGCTCATAAAATAACATGAGAGCAATTTAAAAAAATTCTAGTATTGAATAAACAAAGCACAATTAAAAATATCACTAATAGATTACATATCGAGTGATCACATACCAGTGATTCAGACGGTTCTACTATTAATAAGCGCTTCTTGGAAGTGCCAACAGAAAGCGAGAGTAACATTGAACCTAAATATACAATTCGGTTACAATCATCAGTTTTGTTAGTCCTACCGCACACACAATACTATCTTCGGAGATTATTTTTTGTTTCATGCATAGATCTTTTGAGTCTACATTACTAAGATGAAGATAATCTATCACTAAACAAATTAAAAGATATTAAAAGTAAATAGCAGGCTTTTTGTCGCGCAGATGAGTGAAAAGTGTAAAGATAAAATTTTTCGTCGAATCAATATTGAAACATGGAATCATACTAAACATTGTAGATGAAGTTTTTATCGGTATTAGAAACAAGAGTATCACAAGTTTTTTTTATTACCTTTTACTCGCTACTGTACAGTTCTTAGTGTTTTCTAACAATAGCGCGAACACAGCGAAGCGCAAAGAATTCCGCAACAGTAAAAACCGTTTGTCGACGAGAGAGAAAGAAAAAAAAATCATCACAGCGGCGCAGCCCACAGTCTATGCTACTTTTTTTTCTAACGTCCACCCGCAAAAAGATCGCGCAATTACTCGCCAGATAAAATAGCGTAATACGTAGTAGGCACTTTCATCTTAGTTTAATAGCGCGAGAAAGGCGTCGAAGGAGTAAGATAAAGGATTATAACAATGTAAAACGCTAAAGGTGTATAGCCGACCCTGAGTCATTTGTGCGTCCCGATTGAGGGAAACAAATGTGTGCGAGAGAAAGAGAGAGAGAGAGAGGAGCGCGTACGATCGAGTGCTGCTACCGCCAACTGACTGCAAAGGCGTCACTTGTCGCCGCGCGGCAAAGCATTGCGTAAGAATCAGCGAGTTCGAGGACGGTCAACACGCGCACCACGCAAAGACGCCAAGAGAGACTCACCTGTGCACTACAATAACTCGGATATACTTAGAAATATAAAACGGCGACGGAGGTATACGTCGAGTAACTGCGTTCTTTTATTCTTTCCAGGAAAATTTTTGAGTTTTGAAAAATCGTTGTCATATAAACCTGCTCCAGTTTCTGTTGTTTTTTCCTTCTAAGTGTCGCGATGATTTGTTGCGACGCAAAACCCGATGATTGTTTATGTTACTTCTGTTACTGGCGTGATTCACAATTGATCGAATTATGTCAATGATGCTGCTGCCGCAGCTGCCAAGTTCCTATTTTCAGAATATCGCGTGACATCATTCTCATTTTATAAAAGATTCAACGAGTGTATGCATAAGGGACGGTCATAATGGTTGGTCAGGTTCGCCTGCAGATCGTTCAACTTTCGTATAAATGATTATTAAAATGACCCGGAATGGAAGGCTTTTTATCGATCAGGAAAGACTTTTTTCAACCTTGCACACTTTTTTCGCCGTAGCAAGAAACTAATCCTTTATTCATTAAACCCAAGACCGAAGGAACAACGAAATATTGAGAGGCTCCTTCTTTCTAAGAAAGTAAAGGTTAAAATACGCCGGTGAATTTTTTTACACAGCAGAAACCGGCATTCGCACCACTCAGTGCATATTTAGTAGAATTTTTTTTTGTACATCCACGAAATGACGTTAAGATACGAATTTAATCAATTTTTTTTCATTCTCACGATGGACTATTAATTATATTCGACGAGCTAGTGGCAAGTGCAAGCGATAAAAAAATATGTATAAAGTGTCGGCAGGCGTTGAATTAATGAAAAAGAGCGAGATGAAGCAGAGAGTAGTGGCCGAGGCGAAGGACTCTCACTTTTATCGATTCTCCTTGAAGGAAGTTGTCTCCCGCGTGCTAGCGCTCGCTCATACGATCCCGGTCCCTCGCGGGTCGTTATGCTCTGCATCCGTGCCGCGCGAGAATTACAGTTAACTTTGCAAGGACAAGATGACGGTAGCTACTTTATCTCGTTATGGATAAACTGAAATCGAGAGTCTGACAGGGACACAAATTCGTAGGTGTGTACTGAATAGGAACAATTTATCAAATCGCAAAGATCAATGTCAGCTATTGAATTGTCAAAAAAGTCCATTGAAAACCTCGGCACTTTTTTCGTTTAGCCTTGATTATTTTTCAAATAGTCGATATTTCAGATAATTTGTTTTATCCAAATAATTAATCAACAAAAGTTTATAGTAAATAATAATTGCTATCAGTTCCTTGCTATAGTTATATTCTCGTCTTACTATTTTTCATATTAAAGTTTAGTGTTTTTTTTTCTTACATAATGTGATAGGAAATTTTGATAATTACTCATCAAGACGAAAGTTCAACATTTTCTAAGAGAATTCCGATATGAAGATTTAATTAGAGTTAATCACATGGTAAAATCGAGAATTATACAAACACAAAAGATTTTTCGATTTATCGACCTTCAAAACGATTTTAGAATTAGGTACATACACGTCACGTGCTTACAACGTCGTATCGTCAAAATACTTTTTGGCCATCTGTGTATCTTGCAAAATTAAATCCATGACTCACCGTGGCTAATCCGCGTCAATTCATAATTGATCATTAAAATAAAGCTATATTTATAACGAATATATATCTGGTCGTCCTTGGAATTCGCTCTTTCGGCAGATTTCAAGCTGCATTGAAAAAGAGCGGATTGACCGCAGAATTTTTTGCTAGTTCCAACCAAACAAAAAAAGGAAAAAAGGAAAAAAAAAGAAATATTCTCCACTCAACGTTTTTGTTTGTCTTGTCGTTCTTCTTTCTTCTCACGGGGGCCTACTGGCCTCGAGATAAATGATATCAAAAGAGGTGCCTGCACGTGTCCTGGGCATGAGCCCGAACTGACTCTCTTGACTTATGCGGCAGACAAAAAAGCTCTACTCCAGCCTTTCGTTTTCTGTTGTCGATTTTTTTCTTCTTTTGTTTCTTGTTCCTTGTCAGATGGACACGCGCGTGTTCGATGAAGTTGAATAAAATAAAGTTCTACTATTCTTATCTTTGTTTCTTAATGGGTTCGTAAAGTTGTAAAAATGCTAATGTCAATATGCTTTGTTCATGCTTGCAAGCTAAGTAATTATGTTAGAAGCAATCCCCACTATTTACTGTTTCCTGTTTCCGGAACATAATGTATGGTTAGATTTTGAGATTGTTTTTTACTCCATTCAAAATTAGTTGTTTTTACTAAAAGAAAACACTGCTGCCGATTTAGTTACAATGAACAAAATAAAGGTGTGTCGTTCTGATTAGTTAATCGCTAATTAAAAAGTAAATCATTCGTCTTCTGATTACTCATGTTACGAATGATCTGACCATAGTGTGAAAATTAATACTGTCAATTTTCATCAGCAGAAGCATTAATTGATAAGTCCTGCAGCCGTCCAACATTAGGTAAAAGCGGAAAATCCGACAATAATGAAGAACGGCGCACGTCAACGGCCGAATTATATAAATTCAGAACTTGCAAGCTTTTGATCGGAGCCAACGATGTCAAAATATATCTCTGCATTTAAATCTTACTTGAAAACAGCCATAAATAAATATAACGATAATCACATACATCCACATTAATTAAGCCATTACGCAGGAGAGCGCGAAACAAATCGCATAACGTTATCTCGCTCGGCAAAAGATTGTCTTATGCAAAGAGGTAACTTTATCATTCAGTGGGTCGAACAGTCGTCGCGAGGTGCACACCATTAAGAAAGATATCAATGACCGCTCGCGAGGTCTTTCTCTCGCGCCGCACACGAGCGTTGAAAAAAGCCAGCTCGCCTTGCGTACCAAAGATTTTCGGTTCATTAAATTATAATGGCACGCCCTCTCCGCCGCGACACGCGCGCGCGTCATAACGAGCCGCCTCGGCGCGTCGATTTTAAAAATAAATTCACGAGAGAGACGAGTTGTTGTACACTGTTTGCGCGCGCACTCGCGAGAAGATCATTGTTTATTCATTCGCAGATTATCCTTCGGCGAGTTCAGTGGCTGCGCCTACTTAAGCGCGGAATGACAGTAATCCTTTCGCTTTTTTTTTCGTTCGTTGTTTGCTGCAAGCCTTGTATGTGTGTATGTATGCTCGCGCCATATAACTTTTTCCTCGATGTGTAATTGCGCTCGCGTGTGCAGATTTCCATGGTTTTTCCCTCGGATATCTGTCGCCGCTGCGGGTGGTGGTGGTGGTGGTGGAATGCTCGCCGAAACGGAAAGTCCATCGACAGATTTTCCTCATTCGCGTGCACTCGCGCGAGTGAAAGGGACACGCACGTGTTATCACGTATATGCGCGCGCGGGCAGAACGTGAGAAAAGTACATATTACTGCTGCTGCTTGCGACTGCTCGTACACGAGGAAAAACTGCTGCGCTCGCACATGTACATGCTTCTGATTTCCTACTATATTGCAGGCTTGATAGCTGCCGAAGGCGAACGCTGGCGCGAGCAGAGGAAGTTTGTCGCTAGTTCTATCAAGAACTTTGGCATGGTCAAATTTGAGAGCCCTAAAAGGGACAAGATGGAGGAGAGAATCCTCAATGCTGTTAACGAGGCTCTTGAGGTACTTGACAACTACATTTCAGATTACGTCCAACTCTGGGTCGATGATCATTTTTACCCACTTCTGATTCGTTTAATTACTTAAAAAATCATTAAAAAAATCGTAGAAATTTTTGCAACTGATCGAATTCAAAATATTATTCAATTCTAAAAAGTATAGAGCATTTCGTACATTTTCAATTCAAATAATAGACTCAACATTTACTATAAGATTAATAAATTCTTATGATATATTGCGTCAAACAGAAATTTGAATCTCGCCAAACAAAGGACGGAGTGAATACGCATAACATTCTTCATCATTGCATAGGAAATCTGATGAATTTACTAACATTTGGGCGAGTTTATGATGAAAATGATGAGTTGTGGAAGTGGCTTCAATATACTCAGGAAGAAGGTGTGAAACATATTGGAGTTTCCGGACCAATTAACTTTTTACCCGTATTCCGGTACTTGAGTTTCACACATCATGAATTTTTTCATTATTTATTTCAGAATTCACATAATGGAAATTTCTCATTATTTCAATTACTCAAAAATACTTGAATATATCATCACAAAAATGCATAAAAAAATTCATAATTTTTTTTTAAAGATTCATACCTACATTTGCAAAATCAATCGAGTTCATATTAGACGGCCAGAGCAAAACGCACGAAGTCTACAGGAAAATACTTCAAGTGTACAGAAGTAATCCAACTGAAATTAATAGCTTCTTAGCCGCGTTTGATGAGGAGATGAAACGGCGTATTGCAAATAACGATGATCTAGGCTCCTTTACCGACACTCAATTGGTGTATCTTTTAGCTGATATTTATGGCGCTGGAGTCGATACTACGTTAGCCACCATTGGCTGGTTTCTACTTTTCATGGCTGCTTACCCGGATGAGCAGGTAAGAAAACTCTAGTTATTAATACAATATTTATAAACAAATATACTTTCCTTTGAAAAAAAAATTGAAACTATAAGGCTAAAATCCAAGAAGAAATGGATAATATACTTGGAGAAAATATGCCAAAATTGAAGCACAGGCCAGCCTTGATACGACTGGAAGCTGCAATCATGGAAGTGCAACGTATTAAGAGCGTTGTTCCCACTGGGATTCCACATGGTACCACCGAGGTACATATACTCATTAAAACTTGATGCATTCACTCTGAAATTAAAATCGCGTTGACGAGATAAAAACAAGAAAACGACCTTCATACGTGTCTTGAACATCAATCCCTGAGATTTTCTTTTACTTTGTTATAATTGAAAATTTTTGGTGCACTTCCCAAATGAATGAAAATAAAAATAGTAATTTTTTACTCTAATCCGTTTATTATAGGACACGAAGATCGAGGATTACGATATACCCAAGGGTACGATGATAATACCTGTACAGTGGGCCGTTCACATGAATCCTTTGTACTGGCCGGAACCGCACACCTTCAAACCCGAGAGATTCATTGAGAAAGATGGCAGTCTTGCCAAGCCGGATGCTTTTTTACCTTTCCAGATAGGTAATGTTAAAAAAATTTCTGGAAAATTCCTACTTGTTATGTGATTTTCAATGTTAACAAGTTAACATATTTTCAAACAACTGCACATGAAATTACGTTTATTTTGCCAGGTAAAAGGATGTGTGTCGGAGATGAATTTGCTAGAATGATACTTTATCTTTTTGGTGCCCGAATTTTGCATCAATTTTCGCTATCGCCACCTCCAGGTCGTACAATCGACTTGGAAACAAACAGTAATGGTATTACTTTACTGCCTATCCCACAGAAATTGTGTGTCAAGCGCCGTCATTGAAACACAACTATATACATTTGCCTTTATTTATATATATTCAAAAAGAATAAAATAAAGATTTTATATATTGGTATTTGTTTTTTTTTTCAATCTATCTTGTTTACTTTTTATATTTTTACTGCACTTTCAAAGTTATATTGAATAGTCCTTATTGAAAGGCTTATTCAAATCATAAAATGACAGATTTAACTCAGTCGATCATGAAAAATTTTTATGAAACTGATGTCTAAATGTAGTAAACAAAATATATTTATCAGAATGAATTGATTAGATAAAAAGATGATAAACCAGTAATTTTAAGCTTAAACGTGCTTTTCACCTTCATGGATTATATCAATTAAGATTGATTCATGATAAATGATTTACATCAAGAATTTTTATAAGAGTTCATTAATTGATATTATTTATGGGTTTAAATATATTCGTTGTTTTCTTCAACCAATCACAGAAATGAAATTAAAGCTGTCTTCAACTATCAAAGTGGACAAACTTGACAAATCATTATTTTCTACGTAATATATTCTCCTCGCGGCATTTTTATAATCGTTGGGATTTAAACATCGGTGCTTAGCACGTGGTTCTGTCATCGTGGAGGTGCGTCTCACGTAGAGAAGGTGACAGCAGAGCGAACCACAGCTTACGTAAGCTTTGGCAGCAGTAGCAGCGGTTTGGGGCCATGTCGTTGACCCTATATGTGTATATTGGGTCTCACTGATATTTTGTTAGAAATCCACTGGTGTGCGCCCGCGAGAAACAAGTGAGTTTCACTTATGTAAGTACATGCATGCTCGACTGGACTCACTGTTGATCTATCGATCATCGATTTCCCGTCTACCGTAACAAGGAAAAAAAAAGCGAATGCTTTTTTCCTCAACAGTTCCGTACATCCCTGGCCAATTTCGCAAGCTCTGACTCTCGAGAGAGTAGATTACTGTATCGTACCGTGGAAGATATGCTCGATTTCTATCTTGATGGTTCGGCTCTATAATTGCTTTTGTAAAAGATTACTTTTTAATGTTGTGCTCATTAACTGTTGCTTATTCCCTAATTGTGCTGATCTGTTTTCGATAACGATTTTTCAAATGCAATACATTTATAACTAATTTTTCTATTAATGAATATCACTTTGAACATTTTCTTTATAAAATACAATTTGTAATCAATAATAATACATTATTTTTTTCAAATAAAAAATCCAACCATTTATGCGATCTCGAATTCGGACGAAAGAAGTTTCAGTTCCCAAGTTGTCGCAACAATAATTCAAACAATTTGACACGTCAACGAGCGAAATTCATTAGACGAAAGCTTTTAACGACTGCCTGGAGACTGCCAAAAATGACTCGGAGCATTGGCCCGTGGCCGCTCGAAGAGAAAGCTATGGTACTGTCTTTCGTAGGCCTCCAGCAGTTCGCGCGACAGCGCGTTAAATTCAAGGAACGAGGACAAATGTCTTATCTGTTCTGGTCGTCGACCGCTTTTTTTCTTCATTTCGACGATGAGCCCACAGACAGTCGTTTCAAGTGCGATTAGTTTCTTCAGAAAAAATATTACAAACTAAAAGTTTTTTATTTTTAAGTGATTAGCTCATAAAATCAAATTGTTTTATTCGATGAAAGTTTTGAGCATAGGATTATGGATAAGAGTAGTACTTTAATAATTTGTAATACAAGTTTTTTTTTTTTTGAAAATACGATATTTGTTTTTATTATATTCATTTTGTAAAAAAGTGCCTTAATTATATTAAATTATTACAATCTACGACACAAGAATTCGCGGTCGACAGGTGAACACAGTGCGGCGGCATTCGATCTGACGATCGCACATAGTTAAAAACAGTCACACATGTGCATGCTTTCATTACTTTTTTTTCTTACAAAAAGAAATAAGTAACTGAAGAAAGAAAGAAAACAAAGAAAAAACAATGATACGTGAAAAATTCACGGACTAGAAATATCCGAAGAATGGTTCTAGTTGAGAGTTCAACGAACAAAAAAAATGTATTTTTTTTTATTCCAGCTTTCACAGGTATTTTTTTCGTTCGTTCGTGTATCATTCGTATACCTCTCGATCAAAAATTGTCAACTGTTTAATCTTATCCTCCTCTTTTCTCCTATTTATAATATATGCCTACGAAATATTTTAAATACAATACACGCGTATATTATGAACAAAAAATAAAACGTAGAAAATAGAACGCAGTCTCTCGGCTCTCGTCGCACAATTATACAATTATACATGCATGCACAAAACACAAACAGACGCTTTTTTGTCAAAGTAAGTGATGAATATTTACATTTTGTAACAAGGAACTCTACAACAAAGCTACCGTTTCTGGTGCTTGCTACCAAAAAATAAATTCTTTCATTTAACAAGTGCTTACAATCTCTCACTAGCTTACATTCTATCTCTCTCTCCCTCTCTTTCTCTCTATCTCTCTCTCTCTCTCTCATCGATTAGTAAGAAAGAAAGCATGACATCACCTATTTAAATAAGAAATCGCTAAGCTGCCAACACGTCACTTGCTTACTTGCTCAACATTTTTCGAATCTCTCGCAAGCCGAGAGAGTCCTAAAGGCTTCTATTACTACACAGAAGAGACAATGCTTGACGCATTTTTAAATGTATACCGGTAACTCTCGGTCATGGGTATTCGAGTTGTAACAGTAATAATAATAACTGGTGGGGGCGGGAAAGGAATAAATTAATGAAGCTGCAGTCGCGAAAGCGGTGTGTATATGTGCTGTCATATCTCGACAAAAATAAATATTATGGCTGCGCGGACGTCTTTAACGAATCTCTAAGAATCGAGAACACATAAGCGGGGCTCTTCGTTAAAAAAAAATTAATAATAATGAACGATCATATCCGGGCTTCGATCTCGTTTCTTTAGCTCTGCTCCTTCAATCTTCTTGAATAGTCGAATAAGTATGTAAAAGTCCACGAAGCCCGTGAGTGAGGGATTTGAAAAAAACTAGCTTGTCTCTCTCCTCGCTTTGCAAATAGGAACGGCAAACCGTGCTAATTGGATGATGGTATGATCGGTGTGTGATGACGATGACAACGATGAAGCATGTTCATTTGGACCCAACGCTACGTAATGGTACATCCCGATCTCGCCTGATCAGGCAGACCTTGAACGGGTCGGGTGTGACCGTAACACCAGCGTTACCTTTGAGGCTAGGTAAACTTGCACCCTCGGGCAGCCGCAGATCAAATGTGTGCATCAGCGTTGAAAAGAACAGGAAGAGCTCCATACGTGCCAACAAGTCGCCGAGACACATTCGCCTACCAACTCCGAATGGCATGAAGTACTCAGGTTTATGTACTTTGCCTTCGGCGGTGAGGAAACGGCTTGGTTGAAACTTGGCTGGCTCTTCCCACAGCTCTTCGTCCATGTGCACGGCGTGAAGCAGGGGAATTATTTGAGAGCCAGTCGGTATCGTAAAGCCATTGAGATTGACCTCCCTGCAAGCACAAACACACCATTTTTCTATTATTGACATTGATCCCCGTGTATCTGCAGATTGTCGATGTATCGGCTGACTTTTTATGGAAGAACACGCGCACATAATGCGACGCGAGCGCGCCACCGCGCGGACTCCATTACATAAAAAAATTATGCAATTCGGGTGTATATAGCGAGGCACCTTTAATGCTCCGGCGTCACGTTTACGTAAGTCAAAGCCAAGCAGCTCTCTTTCTTTCTCAGGTAGACAGGTGAACGCGCTTCCGAAAAAGCAGACCAGACGATTCTCATTAATATTTTTTTTTTCAATCGACTCTGTCTCTAAAAATTTAACCGCGGAAAGTCCCGTGCGTGAATATGAAGTGCACCGGTTTATGTCTCGAGAGAGCCATCGCGTGTGTCATCGACCTCGAAATCGAAGGTGGGCACGTCCCGAAAAGACGGCTTTCACTTTTGTTCGGGACCGTTGGCAACGGTCCTCGCACGCAACTCTACGAGCCGTGTCCGTTTCTCTCTCTCTCTCTCTCTCTCTCTCTCTCTCTCTCTCTCTCTCCTTTTTCCTTCTCTTCTCTCTGTGTGCCTCAACAGTAATTCGCACCCAAGACTTTCTCTCTCACTTGAAGCGCGCCGCACACGCTGTCTCTTGCTTGTGAATGCGTAAACGAGAGCTTTTGTTTGTCGCGAGCAGGTGCACCTCCGAAAAATATATATCGCCTTGACTTTCTCCCGTGAAATTCGAAGGTCAACGATTTCCAGTTTCTTAATCATTGTTCGATAGGTATAGCCAGCTCGATACGCGTTTTATTGTAGTGTTCTTGGAAAATTCAGCTTACCGAGTTGTAGCATGGGTGGTGCCCAGTGGGACGATGCTCGTCCTGCGAAGAACTTCGAGGATTGTCGCCTCGGTAACTGGCAGGAACGGCAGGTCTTCTAGTGTTGGCGTGCGTGATCTGCCGACGATTTGGTCAAGCTCTTCTTGAACTGCGCGTGCTGCTTCAGGGTGATGCATCATGTAGATCATTGCCCACTCGAGGGTCGTTTTTACGGTTTCCATGCCAGCGGAGAACAAGTCGCCCAAGATCTGCTGCATCTGACGATCTGTAATTATAGAATTGAGAAATGTTTTTAGTAAACAAAGTTGCGTCAGCTACGAATGAAGTATTAGTGGAGCAGATAAGATTAAAAAGTGAATCGAGTGGAAAAACTAACCGTGATTCTTTCCCTGGAACAACTGATCAGCGCGACCCTCAGCCTTAGCCTTCTCGATCTCGAGCAAGTAAGCGTCGACGAGGTCCCTGACATTGCTACCGTCGAAGGTAGCGCGATGTTGATCGACGGTCTCTTGAAAGAAATCAGCCATCTCTTCGCGATTGGCCGTCAATTTGGTTTGAACGATTTTCATCCATGGCAAGTAGCGTACGATCGGGATGAAATTGATGAAACTGAGTTGTCCAAAGAGACGGAAGCCTTCTTCGATGAGTCCCATGAATCGTTTGAAGCGACTGTCTCCGTGCTTGAATCTAACTCCCATGATGATCGAGCAAATGACGTTGGTAATTGACATACCAAGCGAGAACGATACACTTGTGGGTGCTCCTTCTCTCACCTCCAGTCCACGAATGAATACTTCGATTTCTTTCTGCAAGCACAAGTAGGTTGCTCGGTTATAACGACGTATCGCTCCAACAACTCCACTTTTTTATTTCATTTTTTTAAAAACTCAAGACTTACCATAATGGTTGACTCGAGAATCTTTTTGCCGGCACCTCTGTAGGTCATGCCGAAATTGCGTAACTTATCTTGAACAAATCTTCTTTGGTCTTTCCACAAGGCGCCTTCGGTATTAATGAGACCTGTAACAAGGCAAAAGCGCCAGTGCACACGTCGGTTAATTCTGTCGATTCTTTTTTTTTTCAGGATCGAAAGGACATGTACGCGATCAAGTTGTCGTAAGGATGAACGTTTTATCGAGCTTTCATTGCGGACATTGTGAGCGCTAGAATACAAGATAGCTGCGCGTTGAGGAATCGGCACTTGAACCCCGGCGTGCATTGATCCTCCGGCAAGTATATCAGCGACTGTGATAAGTGCATTCTCCAGCAACAATGCAAAATAAATGATTTCTTTTTTCATTGCACTGCCTAACCTTTGCGGAGATTATTCAACTTTACGATTAGCATAATCCGTCAGTTTACTGGATAGTTTTGAAAAAGGAAAAGTCAAATATCGAAGTGAAATGTCAATGGCGATTGTATGGTTGCCGTTATTTTTCCTCGATCCACCGAGACAAGAGCATAATTACGCTCGCGTAGTTGTTACTCAATGTTGAGAACTGCTCTCTTGGCAGAGAGAACTGGTATATCTGGGCATTAAGAAAGAAGTGAAAAATACATATGGAGCCGAAAATGACGTCTTATTACGTGATTGAAGCTTGAAAGCAGTGAAAGTTCGTTGCAAGCGTCAAGTCGAAAAAGCGATCGCCACATTATCCAACGACAAACGAGCGTGAAATATTTGTCCGATTGAAAACTCACCATAGCCGCCAAGTATGTTGGTAAATTCATTATGAGGTCTGCCAGTGAACTCCTCGCGTCTGAATGTATCCCTGATGATGCGATAATCGCTAAGTACGACAACCAGTTGATTGCCAAGCTTAGCGGAGAACATGGAGCCGTATTTCTTGGCTAACTCGGTGTAAGTGACGTGTTGATCGGCACCCTTCATAAATGGCAAGTAGCCAAGGATCGGAATACCCCATGGTCCCGGGGGTAAGGAGCGCACTTGACGATACCACTGCACGAGGCGCACAAACGTCAGCGCCCCGAAGAACACCAGCAGCGTGGAGAATGCATCGCTACTCCTGGCCTCGCGGTACAGCCACTGGATTATCGGCTCCACAAACATTGTTGACTTTGTTGTTCGGCAGTTCCAAAACCAACGAGAAAAAGTCCGAGAATCGAGCAGAAAGAATGCTGCGAGGTGTCTTTCTGCGCTGCGCCTATGCGTGTACGTATCACTGTTGAAAATAATAGCCAAAAAGAGAAACTTGTCTGAAAGATTGGATGTATGTTATATCGCGGCGGGCTTTCGCTTTATGTTGAAAAACGGTCCGGCGCCGCGGAGGATTTGGCGTGCACTAACATACACCTTCTTGTCCTTGCCGGTCTTATATAGTGACTCATCAGCCGCCGTCGGATATCCCCGAGCCGCCGCCGCCGCTGTAGTAAGAACCGACTCGGGGAGGGGACGATTGAACGTAGCAGCAGCAGAGCAGGACCCAAAGAATATCAACTCTCCGCGGGCTGCTCAGTATGCGTGCGCGCGCCGCTTGCACTACTGCCTCCGCGCCAGTCGCTCTCTTTCTCTCTCTCTCTCTCTCTCTCTCTCTCTCTCTCTCTCTCTCTCTCTCTCTCTCTCTCTCTCTCTCTCTCTCTCTCTCTCTTTCTCTCGCTCTCTCTCGCTCTTTTTTCCTTTTCTTGGCCAAGGAAGAGGGAGGGAGGCGAGGGCGGACCCCAAGATACACGCGGTTGCGGGTCCCAGGTGGGGAACCACGTGCCGACCACCGGCCCGCACCGACCAAAAAAGGGGAAGGGAATATCCGCGCCAGCAGAGCTCCCCGCTTCTTCTTCGCTCGCCGCTGCTTGCCACTCGCCGGTTGAGCGCCGTACCGACAGCCTGCCACGCCGCTGTCATGCGCATCGCTCGCTGATCCAATTTTTCTTTTCTCGCTCTTTGCATGTGTGCCAGAGCTGACGCTGCGATTGTTGTTTTTATTTACAGAGCGCTCGATTGTGCCGACTCGACCACGATCGCGCCTCACGGGCATTCCTTTCGATGGTCGTTATCGATCGATCGCAAGCCATGCCGATCGCCCGAGCTCTGTGATTTGCCTCCACTCAGTCCTCTACTTTCTCATCGTTATTTAAACAATTCCGCTTGTTTGCGGACAGATTTATAGCTATTTTCTGACCATCACAATAAGCTGTCGCCATTTGAGTAGGTCAACACGTGCACGAGTCGCGTACGCTGGCCAAGCCTGGAAAGTCAATCAATTAAACGGAATCATTGGAGTTACGCTAAGATATGATCCACGAGCCTGAAGAATCGTTGAACCCGCAGCAGCAGGTAATAGATACACATTCTCGGATCAAACGTCGAGTATACGTTGAGGAGATCATTGCGAAAAGAGAAGAAAAGGATAAGAAAAGCAGTTGGATAATGTGCCGCAGTGCTGTCTGTTTACATTATTAGCATAAATGCACGTAAAGCAAGAGAGCTTTATCGGCGTGGCACGGGCGTTCGAGCGTCGTGCACGCGGCTATTGTCAATATACTTATGCAAATTTAACTTACGCAGCCGAATGATTATGAGGATGATGATGGCGGTGATGACGCGCGAATAGCTGTTTTTGCACGCAATGCATTCACTCTCAAAGACTTAATCATGTCGTGCACCATGCTAATAGTACAAAGTTCGACATTTTTTCTGTTTCTTATACCTTCTGCTGATAAGAGCGATCGGATTTTTTGATAATCGATGCGCCCACGAATTTACAAGGATTAATCTTTTTACCTGAAACTAATGTATACAGTTATATTCGATGGCCAACAAGTCGCACAAATATTTTCACCTGGAAAGTGTAAACTCTGTTGAAAATTTCTGATTCATCAATGAAATCACGTTGCAAAACGTTCATAAGACTCAATGAAATTGCAATCGTTGAAAAGAAGATACACCTCCACGAAGGCGAAAGTTGGCAACAAAAAATTCCAACGATAACGATCACTAAAACATTATGGTCGAGTAACTTGCAATATAATTGCAAAATCTCTCTCTCTTTCTCTCTCTCTCTCTCTCTCTCTCTCTCTCTCTCTCTCTCTCTCTCTCTCTCTCTCTCTGCAGCGTAGATTCCACGCTGAAGTAGCTATCGGGAAGTAAAGCGCGATAACATGCAGCACACATTCGAGAAACATTGACAATCGGCGTCGTTCAGCGAATTGGCCGCGGCGTTGTTGAATTGATATGATTGAGCTGCGAGGGCCCAGAGACAAACGTAAAGAGGGTTCACTGACAGACGAAATGATCAGTCCAAAGAGCTGGTATTTCCACCCGTGAATGAACGATAAGCGAATTTTTGGCTTGGAGCACGCGGATATAAGGTACGATCAGCCGAATTGATCGCCAGGCTATCGGTTATAAGCATTGCAAGGTGTGCTATATATATTTGCATTGATTTCTTTTTCGGCCAATGACGATTATTTCGACATTCTTCATATATTCGTTTTGACGAAATTATAAGAGTACGACCAATAATGGAAATATTTACCCAAACGCAGGATTATTTATTGGTAGAGACGGTGATAAATTCCCGACGGCTTTCGGATAATTTTCAAATAAGCAAGTAGCTGCATGTCACTTGGGGAAAATTTTGATGCCGATCGGCAAGCGAACGATCGGTAGGCAGAATAATAATTTTACGAAAAAAAAATGAAGGAAAAGTTATTACTCTATAATATTTTCGCTGCGTTCCTGAAGATAAAGCGCGCGAGAGATAAACGAAAATTGCAAACAACATAATTGCGGTACAAATCGTACGGTCTTCTGACACACACAGTTTTGCTAATTTATATGCAACGAGCGTGCCGTGTCGTCGTCGATTGTGCAACATGCACGAGTAGCCCGAAAAAATACGGTAATATATTTTCTTCCTTCCCAGGTGTAATCGACGAGTGTGGTGACGAAAACACTGACATTGAAAAGATTATCTGTGTTAAGGCCAAAGATCCCAAAAGAAGAAAAACACATGAAATCGGGCGTTCGTGTTTTAGGCCACGACGGCGTGTCGCTTATGAGATATGTTTTTGTGCAGGTGTCATTTTTTTGTCATGTGATTTTTATTGTAGCTGTTTACACGCTGATAATAGAGTTTTTGGCGGCGGAACACGCTTACTGAATTTTGTCAGAGTGCTCGCCTGTTAGATTGGCCTGTTTACGAAACGACGTTGATCGACAAATTGTAGTGGCTGACCTTTAATAATGCAAACAGCTTGGTTAAAATTGAATAAACACATGCCAACAAATGATTCAACTGACGATTCATATTTCACGTCGAATGTCAATGATTGTCAGAAAATACTTGCTGAATTTCATTTGTTGTAAAAAATATTTATTCCCTTATCGCAAGGTCCAAGGACAAAAACGAATGCACCCGTTAGATTTCAAGGAACTTACTTTTTCATTGAACGAATCTGATGCCCCTATTTCGCTTTCTCAAATGAATACTCTTTTAGATACAACTCATTTTTTCATTATCTTACACTCGCAGGAGATGGTAATCAAAAAGGCGCATGATTGCAATATTTATCACAGCCAGTACAAAGTTTGAAATTGGCGTCTATAGTATATAAAGTCTAGACGCTCAAGTAAAAAAATGAAATAACTTGTACGGAAAAACACACGCGACAGATGATACCGCTGATTTGTGTAAATATTACAAACGTGATTAATTCATATTACTGCTTGCATACTTTGGTGAACATCTTGCATTCAAAATTATTGTGTATATATATATCTATATATATATATATATATATATAAAATATATATGATATATATATATATTTGATGATACGCAATATGTGATGGAAGAACAACGATAACGCAATAAAAACGTTACAATATTATCCAGTTGACATAACTGTATAAAACATAAAAGAAATTAAGTATAAATTATAGTATTGTCACCAAAAATTGTTTATTTGCGAAAAGAAATATTCAATCAGTCGACAATTATTTATGTCGAAATTTTTCTTTAATGAATAATAGATGAAGAACGCTTGAAAGTTCTTTTTTAAAAGCACGTTTTTGTCATTCAAATGCCAGAACTAAATGCATGGTCGATTACGACTAAATAATCTAGCATAAATGGTATACGGAAATATAATAAAACTACTGTCACGTATGATCGAATTACTCCCAATGCTTGTTGTTAAAGAATTCACTTAGTCGACGAAATTCTCAAATCTAACATTCTATTTAAATATAGTTTTTATAATAAAATATGTAATTTGCCGATTAAGTACTGAAAAGCCCATGGCCATCAGTGAAGCAAAATTGTCACCAAAAATTTCAAAACAGCTGTCAAGCGTGTGCAAGAATTTTGTTTCGAAAAATCCCAGGTGTATCGAACCTTGGGGAAAACAAGGCTGCACGAATAAGCCGACTTCTGACCGCGCGCTCGCAATCAAAACAAACCCACTAAAAGTAAGAGTGAGGGTGAGGCGCGACATATAGGAACGGGAAATAACGTCGAAGAAGAAGAACCGCCCCCCTCCGCCCCTGACAAGGAAGAAAAAGAAACGTAATGTAGAGTTGACACGAGCGCGCTTCAACGCATGACGCAAAAGAAGCTTCACGTGTCACTGACTACCATTATAATATACTCACCCGTTCCCTGACCTTGACGTTGGAAGATGTTTTTTCTACCGCGAGACACGTGTGCCCTAATCGCAAAAGTATTGCAAATAAAACGTACAGATCTGACGCAAGCGATATTAACTATACTGGATGTGTGTATTTGGGCATGTGAAGTCCGATTTTTATGTTTTATTGATGTAACGTACGCGGCACTACTGTCGATCAAACTTTATCTACGGCGTAACCTTCTACCTGATTGTCGATCTTTTGCATGTCTGATATACGACAAAGAAAGCTACCCTACTGCGTGTGCTTTTAAGTTTCCACGTACCCATCTTAAACTTTTCGATGCATAATTTTCCTCGTGCATTGCTGCGACTCAATTGAATTTTCAGTACGCTAAAAAATATTTTTTTAATCAACCGACTGCTCGAAAGTAGTGATTATTTCAGGCATAAAAACTTCCGCTTAATAATGTAACTGTGAGTCGTCAAAATGAAAATTTTCAAAATTAAACAAAGTACAATGGGATATTTTCTCGTAAAAAGCATCCAACAAACATTACTGAGCACTGTTATTGCAAGCAAATTGTATTTCATTACGACATTGAGAAAAAATGCTTCTGATATGAATGTTGTTTAGTCGGAATCGCAATTCCCAGGAGCCAAGACTCATCACTTAGAATACTTCGCGTCAATCCAATTGCCACTACTTGTGCGCTCACGATAACCTCGAACTTGAAAGACACGCACGCACGCGCTAGTCA